ATATATCACAAATAAGCCTGCACAAGTAAAGGCATGAGATAACCAAGAGTGGAGCCGGTGGAGACGAGGATGTGTTACCGAAGTTCCTTCCTTTTGAGGGGAAGTACGTCTCCGTTGGAGGAGTGTGGAGGCACAATGCTCCCCAAGAAGCCACTAGGGCAACCGTATTCTCCTCACGCCCTCACACAATGCGAGATGTCATGATTCCACTATTGGTTCCCTTGGAGGTGGCGACTGAACCTTTACAAACAAGGTTGGGGAAAACTCCATAACTCAATTGGAGGCTCCCAATGACACCACGAAGCTTCACCATAATGGACTATGGCTTCACGGTGACCTCAACCATCTAGGGTGCTCAAACACCCAAGAGTAACAAGATCCGCAAGGCATTAGTGGGGGGAATCAAATTTCTCTTGGTAAGAGTGTAGATCGGGGCCTTCTCAACCACTCCCGAGGAAATCAACAAGTTTGATTGGCTAGGGAGTGAGATCGGGCGAAAATGGAGCTTGGAGCAACAATGGAGCTTAGGGTTGGAAGAGGTGGTCAACTAGAGGAAGAAGACACCCCTTTTATAGTTGAGAACAAAAATCCAACCGTTATCCACCTACCAGCCCCAGACCAGCGGTACTACCACAAGGCCATGCGGTACTTCCGCTCCTGACAAGCGGTACTACCGCAAGGCCATGCGGTACTACCGTGAGGAACTGCGGTACTACCGCAGCAGCAGCAGTAGCTAGGGCAGACCTGTAGCACAAGGGCTGAGGATGGTACTGCCGCAGGCGCGGTACTACCTCTCCCCCTTGCGGTACTACCGCAAGGCAGGAAACCCCTAGCCTGGGAAGAGCGCGGATAAAAATACATCCATGCCTACTTCCGCTGGAAAACGGACGAAGCAAAAATCCGACACAGTACTACCGCAGAGAAGCGGTACTACCGCCTGGCAGCTGAGCCAGGCCGCGCACGGTACTACCGCGCAAGGGATGCGGTACTACCGCGGTGGCGCGGATGTAAAAAATTACATCCGCCCCTACTGATGAAGCGGTACTTGGCCTGGGGGGCCACGGTACTACAGCTCCAGAGAAGCGGTAGTACCGTGGGCACCTGCGATACTACTGCACCGTAGTACGGTACTACCGCGGGTGCCTGCGGTACTACCGCTCTCCAGGGAGCAGTACTACCGCAAGCCCATCAACAACAACCAGGACAAGGCAAAGAGGATAAACGGAGGATGCTCCATAGTGCAGGGGGAAGGAGGGGACAAGGAAGAAAACATGTACGTGATGATTCCACCCGAACCTTTCCGACGCGGACCCCCTCTTAATAGTACGGCTTTCCTACGACTCAAATCCACCAAAAAGAAACATAGAAAAACGCCGTCTTCAATAGTCTTTGAGGGAGACCAAACCGTCTTGTGCCTAGCGATGAAACGTCTAGGAAACTCAAGACACACGATTAGTCCGCAAAAACATTGTCATCAATCACCAAAACACCTTAGGGATAAATATGCCCTTACAATAGGTCTATCAGATTTGCTCCTTTTCCAGTCCAGAATTCCAGCTGCCGGCATTCTCTCTCTTTGTGTAAACCTTGTGAAATAAGGGAGAAAAGACATAAGTATTGTACTATAATGTGTAATAACAGCCCATAATACAATAAATATCAATATAAAAGCATGATGCAAATGGACGTATCGCCTTCACATTGGTTCTTCCATAGCATACACTAGTGGAGCTTAGTGTAAGTCAGGGGGCACCCATCCCTCTGAATTCTGAGCGATGTGAAGATTTTTTTTGAGAAAGCGGAGATTAGAGAAGTATTTTGCCCCCTCTACCCCACAAAAAATCCCACCAACCACTGTCAGACATGGCGGTCTACCTAGCGCACGAGAGGAAGTAAGTTGATGGGTAAGGGTTTGCAGCACTCGCTAGTACGATTTCTTCGACACATACATCTACTACTTAATCAACAAGCATTTGGTGGTCATGGTTCTCGGGCGTGGCAACATGGACCAACGACGCTAGACAAGGTGTGTGCCGCTGTTGCGCTGAGGTGAGATTTATCGGCATCCCCATGAATCAATAGCTTGGTCACTATGTCAGTTTTCTCATTAATGGTTTTGTTCTCTTTTCTCATCCCATGTTCTAGCATCCCCGTGACCAAATCATGTTGTGTCTGGCATGACGATGATGGATACCATCACACCAGGAAGGCCCTAATAATATCCCTCCACTGCCGAAGGAGAAAATACCAATCTTGAGCTATGAAGTACCTTTATCATACTTTTCTGATGTACCCGAAAGTTGTCGTTGTGATCACCCTGTTACGCCTGACGCTTGATGACCCCCAAGGTACACCTTCCGGCATGAAGGTACTCTTTTTTGAACACAATATAGATGCAAGCACTCCTATGTACAAGTATACACTCACCTCTATAAATGCACGCGCGCACACACACCCTACCCTTATGAGCACCTCCGAGAGACTGAGTTGGCATGAAGGTACTCGATACTCTCATGATGCAAAGAACTATACGAACGTTAACTTCTCTATGATGATACTTATAACTTAGTGACAATGTGATATCAAAGTATAACAATCAATTGGGTTTGTTCAACACAAGTATTCTACTGAAAGTGTGTCCTCAAAGTTGCTGCTATCTATTGTTACACTAAATCATGCCCATGTTCAGGAAAACGAAATCATAATGCAACACTTGAGCCAGTCAGGCGCGACTAAGAATTAATTTTACAATTTATTATTCCATACACGATACATGCAAATGAGTTTTTTCTCTCAGCCTCTTGGATATACAAACTCGAGAGCCATTGCAATTGCAACACAAAACATAAAACATAAAACATAATTAATAACATTTAAAATTGCTTGTATTGCATATTTCCTTCAATTTCGCGTTCATTTTATGGACAAAAAATACTAAGAATAGATTAAATCAAGAAAGAGGACAAATGATCAATAAATCATGGTATTATGGGACAAATCAACTAAAGCAAAGTGGGGCAAATTATCAAGTGCCCAAGCTATGTGGGGGCAAATTATCTAATCTCCCCACATCCTCCTGTGTTTGCTTTGCTCCCATCGCCGCGATCTGCCGCTGCGCCGACCCCTCGACCATCCACGGACACCTCAACTTGAGAAGCACTCACGCCGTCCAAACCCACGACGGTGATCACCGACCCACGTTCCTCTCCGATTCCAACTCTCCAACCCCGAACATTTTTTGGGAATACACGTTGGCCATTTTGTAAATATACTGTGAACATTTTTTTAACACACGGTGAATATTTTCTAAAGACATGTTGAATAGTTTTCAAATACATGTCGAACTTTTAAATACATGTGAACATTTTTTTAAATGCGGTTAATATTTTTGGAACACGCATTCAATATTTTTCAAAATACATGGTGAATATTTTTAAATATGTTTGAGCATAGTGCACAAACACTTTTTAAAATTCGTGGATAATTCTTAAAAGTACGTAACATTTTTTCTATCTTTTAGTCGGAAAATTGGCAAATTTCATGAAAAATGCATTAAGATTTCTAACAAAAAAACAAATAAGAAGGAAATTGCAGGTAATTCCCGGCCCGACCCAGGTGGCCCCGCTACAACCGACGCATCCTTAGTGTTCGCTAAGAGTGAGGCATAAAGACACCACAACGCCGATAGGGCGCCATAATCTAAGTCGACCCAATGGTGGAGAGAGCGGAGGCGGAGCCATCTGATCGATTTTTTTCTGGTTTGTGCAAGATAGTTTTGTATGTTTCCTCTCTTTGGCTAGTGATTTGTCGATTATTCGATATTTTTCTCTGCTTTTTTCAATTTTTCTACCCCCATTGTTTTTATGTTTTCCATGCTTCTTCTTGTTTTCTTCTCCTTTTTCAATTTTATTTTCCCCATTTTGAATACACGTTCACATTTTTTTAAGTACATGTTGAACATTATTCTGAATACACGCTAACCATTTTCTTAATATACCATGAACATTTTTCCAATACATGGTGAAATTTTTCTACACACACGTTGTATATTTTTCGTATATGTTGATTTTTGAAATACATGTGAACATTTTATTGATGCATGGTAAATAATTTTTAAACACACATTCAACATTTCTTCAAAAATTTATGGTCAATATTTGAAAAATACGTTGAACATACTTTCAAAATGCAATAATACTTTCGAAACAAATATTATAAAAATTAGCAGAAGAATTTAGAGAAGTACATGAACAAGTTTTCTAAATTTTGTATGAAAATATTAACTTGTTTTGGCAAAATAATACAGTAAGATTTTTTAACATAATAAAGGAATGATTATAAAATTACTCATAACTTTCTTCCTGGCCCAGGTGGGGACCGCCGAGAGCGACTCTTCTAAAAGTCGTGATTATTTTTTCAAATTCACGAACATTTGTAAAAAGACCGGATACTTTTTAGATTCTGATTTTTTTAGAATGGTGATCATTTTTCTCAAATTTACAAATAAAATCAAACGTTTTTGACATTCTTCAATTCGTGTTTTTATACGGATAGTAAAACTTTGGAACATTTAGAGAGAAAAAAAAGGGAAAACAGAGCAACCCCGCATATAGTCTTGGTCTAGGCAGCCTGGCGGGCCGAAACTAGCGATCGTTTTCTTTTCTCTAGCAATCTGGCCATATGCACACTTGCGGGCTGGGCCTGGCCCATACGCGGGCTGCTATGAGCGACGGTGCCATCGCGCTCGCTCCCGTAGACGCGCCCCGTTTAAGCAAGCCCTAGACTGCTGCTGCTGTGTGTCTTCCTCTGCTCCGCACCGCCGCCTCTGCATCCTCCCCGACGACGAGATCCACCCGCCCCCTACCTCCCCCCCGCCTCCGCCCCGTCGCCAGCCCCCGAGGTACCCCGCCCGACCGCCCCCCAGTCAGTTCTCTTCTCCGTGGCCGGATCAGCGCGACGCGTTCCTGACATTTTTTCTGGCTCTCTCCGTGGTTGGGCAGATGGAGAGGGTGCTCAAGGATGACGCCATCCAGGAGAAGGGCGAGCGCGCCAGGATGGTAACCACCCGCCTCCCATCTGATCTGCTTGTTTTCCTTCTTGGTCTGACCGGGTCGGTTCGTTCGTTCCTCCGTTGGTTCGATGGCGCTGCTGCAACTGTGTGCAATTAGTTTACTGATCTCATTTAGACTGCAAAATCCGTAGATTGTTAGTTCGGCAAGTGCCAGATCAGCAACCTGACCGTCGGCTTCGCGTAGTAGGATCTGTAGGTTACGGCGGCACACACGCACACACTGATGCTGTATTGCTGCTGCATAATGTGCTTTTGCAACTGTGCGCAATGCGTTTACCGCTCTCCTTCAACCGCAGAAGCTGAATATCACTCCCTCCGTTCATAAATAAGTGATGTGGTTTTAGTTCACTTATTTATGAACGGAGGCAATACTTTGTAGAATCATTGTTCAGCCTCTTTGTTTATGTGGGGTTCTGATTCATTTGATTTCGCCCCCCTGGCAGGCATCTTTTGTAGGTGCCATGGCGATCGCAGACTTAGTCAAGACCACATTGGGACCAAAAGGAATGGTACGTGCTGCTCGCAGAGAAAAAAAATGCAGTTTGGGCAAAAGATGGCGCCAGCCAATCGAGTGCTGGAGGATTTTCCTTGGAATTTACATGTTACCTTGTTTATGTCCAGGACAAGATCCTTCAGTCGACTGGCCGAGGGCGGAGTGTCACCGTTACAAATGATGGTGCTACCATTTTGAAGTCGCTTCATATCGACAACCCTGCTGCCAAGGTCCTTGTTGGTATCCTTTTGTTTGAGCCTACTGCTTGATGGTTTTCCTGCTGAGATGATGCTTGTTTCTAGATCTGGCAATATAGGCTTCTTGTAGCTTCTCCTGACCCCATTTGATTAGTTGGTTGTATGGATGTTCTCCCTAATTGAAAGAAAATGTAGTCCTTAATGATTGTTAGACATCTCAAAAGTCCAAGATGATGAAGTTGGTGATGGAACAACTTCTGTTGTTGTTTTGGCTGGAGAACTGTTGAGGGAGGCAGAAAAGTTGGTTAACATGAAGATTCATCCGATGACTATTATTGCAGGTAATCCTCATTTTAGACACAGTTTATTCAACATGTTATCCCTAACATTTAAAATTGTGCAACTCTTGGTTACCACCTCAATACATGTTACTAAGTTTTTGGCGAGTAATGATACAATAACAACATCTGCAGATCAGTAAGACATGTGAAGTTTGGAAAATGACATCTCATGCTTACATACTTTGTTTTTCAATTTGTCATGTTTAAATGATTAAAAGCAGCTCCCTTAGTCTAGGCAACTTCCGGATTTTAAAAGTAAGACAGTACCTTAAAAAAAATGAAAGCATTGCACTTCTGTGTTGATGTCATGTTGGCGATGGACAACTATGACCCTTTGTTTTCTGTTCCATTTTCATGTTTGCGTCTTCATTTCTAATCTTTTTGGCTTGCTTATTAATGCAGAAATGATACACATGATATTTGAGAGATACACATGGATGCATGATGGAACTGTTTGCAAATATATAGCTAATCATTTAGTTACATTTCAACATCTCTAATGCTTTATCATCTCTCTGTACTATTAGGTTACAGAATGGCTGCTGAGTGTGCCAGAAATGCGTTGCTGAAAAGGACCATGGACAACAAAGACAATACAGGTCACCTATTTAGTTACTTTCTCATATATGATTTCTTAACTATATTTAAACACTATGTAATCTTCTTCTAGTAAGTACTTATGTTATGTGCGACAAAATTTATGTTTGCATTAATCCTTGGGGCGGATACTTATTTTCCCCATTTTATCTTGTAATGAGCATCACTTCCTGGAATACTAGCTTAGCACCTGGCATCGCTGATTTCCTAGTTGGGACTTGGCATTGACCTGGCAGTAATTTTCAGTCAGATGTTTAAAGTTTATTGCAGTCATTATGTTTTATATTATGGTTTATATATTAAGAGTTTGCCACCAGGAATGGTATTCTGACAATAAACCTTCATTGGTGCTGCAGACAAGTTCAGATCAGATCTCATGAACATTGCCATGACTACGCTTAGTTCAAAAATTCTCTCCCAGGACAAGGAATATTTTGCTGAACTTGCAGTTGATGCTGTCCTCAGGCTTAAGGTAAAAATGATTGGGGGAAGTTGGTCATACCATACCTTTTCTATATGTGGGGTGTTGCTTGAAGTCTAATTCATTAGTTCATAATTATCCATTCACATTGGTACGTTCTGTTAGTAAAATGTTGATTTGGTATGCACCACACTTCTTGTTCATTGGTGGCAGGGTAGCACCAACTTGGAATCAATCCAAATTCTGAAGAAACCGGGAGGTTCTCTCAAGGATTCCTTTTTGGATGAAGGGTATGTTCTTTCAAACCCTTGTTCTTTTTTATCCCAACTATATTATGGTTCTATATCAGTTACAAACAGACTGATAAACATATACCATTTTCAATCTATTTTGCAGGTTCATTCTTGATAAGAAGATTGGCCTTGGTCAACCAAAGCGTATTGAAAACGCTAATATTCTGGTTGCAAACACTGCTATGGACACAGATAAAGTTAAGATTTATGGGGCACGTGTCCGGGTGGATTCGATGGCTAAGGTTGCAGATATTGAAGCTGCTGAGAAACAGAAAATGAGAGAGAAAGTTGAGAAAATCATTGGCCACGGGATAAACTGCTTTGTCAACAGGCAGCTAATCTACAACTTCCCTGAAGAACTTTTTGCTGATGCTGGCATACTCGCAGTTGAGCATGCTGACTTTGAGGGCATCGAGCGGCTAGCTCTTGTCACTGGAGGTGATATTGCATCAACTTTTGACAACCCAGAGTCTGTTAAGCTTGGGCACTGCAAGCTCATCGAAGAGATTATGATTGGGGAGGACAGGCTGATTCATTTCTCCGGGGTTGCGATGGGGCAAGCATGCACCATTGTCCTGAGAGGAGCAAGGTATGCCTTATTTATTTTTGGTGTAGCTCCTTATCATGCAGTGATAATATTGTATTATTCAGGCATTCTGTTTTGTTTGGCTGCAAACTGAATACATGTGTCTTGTTGTCTACAGTGAGCATGTACTTGATGAGGCGGAGAGGTCCTTGCATGATGCCCTATGTGTGCTTTCTCAGACGGTAACTGACACGCGTGTCATATATGGTGGTGGATGGCCTGAGATGGTGATGTCCAAGGAGGTGGACGAACTTGCAAGGAAGACCCCTGGGAAGAAATCTCATGCGATTGACGCCTTTTCGCGCGCCCTGCAAGCCATCCCAACAATCATTGCTGACAATGCTGGTCTGGATAGTGCTGAGCTGATCTCCCAGCTCCGAGCCGAGCACCACAAAGAGAACAGCACTGCTGGAATTGATGTCATCAGCGGCGGGGTAAGTTCACTGAGAAGACTCCGACTTGCTATGTAGGTAGTTATTACACGAGTGATTTTTGAAACTAACATGGTCTATTGTGGTGCAGCTGGGAGACATGCAGAAGCGCGGGATATGCGAGGCGTTCAAGGTGAAGCAGGCCATCGTCCTGTCGGCGACCGAGGCCGCGGAGATGATCCTGAGGGTCGACGAGATCATAACCTGCGCCCCGCGCAGGAGGGAGGACAGGATGTGAGCGCTGTCTCGATGCAGCGCTCTCTTATGTATGATGGTTTGCCGAGTTTTGGCTGGGTTGCTGTGGTCCACGACTGCTTTAAAGTTTGATTGACCCCATTTCGATTGTCGTTGAACCCTGACCCCTAAGCGACTGGAACTTGTAGCTGCTAGCGTTGTTCTGTAGGGAGTGGCTTGGTTTTCTTTCGGTTGATTTTCCACTAAGAGGATATAGTGATGTGTAAGTGTAACCTTGTTTTATGTGCATCTTTTGCATGCGGAGGACTTAGTTAAGAAGATGCATGCAATGCTACGAGTTTTCAGTTTTCCATGTGTTTGCTGTACTTGCTGGATATCTATCAGCCGTTGCTAGCAGTGTGTTGGACATGGCACATGTATGGCTGGAATCGGGCCCAGTTTTGATTGTGATTGTGCCGAAACAAGATAGGACAATCTGTGCGCAATCTGTGCGCTTGGAGTGTTTGATTATCTGTTTGACAAGTGTTTTCTTATTGTCGACTGATTAATATCGGTTCTTCTTATCTTCATTAGCTAGTTCTATTGGACGTCTGGACCACATTCAGTTGTGTTGTGGACTACTTGCTAGTAAAGGAGCTTGGCTTACATAAAACTGTCATTGCCAGAACAAACCCTGATAATCTATCTGCCTAGAAGTTCCTAAGTACCAAAATATTTTCTTTTTCTTTTTGAAATAGCAGGATTCCTGCATTCATTAAGAAAAGAGTTTCTCAGTTAATTGGGGGAAAACCAGACTGCACGTTTAGTTTAGTTATATGGAGAACTACGCAAAACCCATCACAACCGCTGAGCGGCACACATAAGATACCTCTCGCACACCACGCCAACGAGGGCCTCAACGAGACAGCGCGTAGGCATCATCGTCATCACTCCTCCCCTGGAGGCGTTATCGCTGCCATCCCTACACCCCGAGCAAACGACTCCCACTTTGCCGTACGCGATCGTCGACCCGACCCACACTGAAGAGGTCGTGGAGAGATGCATGAAGATCTGCGCCAAAACTCAGCCACCTGTGACTAGGCAGCGCACCTATGACTAGGTACGGCTAGCGCCGCAGAAAATCATCGAACGAACCATCTGCTGCCCGTCATCATACGCCACCGGGCCCCGCCACCACAACTTCGACTTTGCAGCAACAAACCAACCGAGATAATCCCGCGGACACGCTGGAGAAAAGTGGACTACCTCAACCATAGCCACGACTCCGACATTGCTCCCCCCATCATCTTGCCACAGAAGCCTCGAAGCCAACACCATCGTCTTCCGCTAGTCCTGCTTGTCAATACCCATCTTCAAAGATGAAGCCCCTAGGGAGAATACAACACCAAGGCGCTGTCATCTTCTAATCAAACAAGATCAAGGGTTTCCCCGGAGTTGCAGTGATCCA